CGAGTGGTCTAGCGCACACCAGCTCGGAGCACGTGGAGCGAAAGCTCGCGCTGCAGAACACAGCGATCCTGGGCTCAATATCCACCCCTGCCCGTTTCGATCTGGATGAGCATCGTACCGGCGTGCGGTCGTGTATCACTACTGCGCGATGCAAGTTCAAGACTCCAGGTTAGCGGTTGTACCGCACTGGCTAAATTGCACATCTACGGCTAAGACACCAGACGCCCACAGAGGGAGACTAACTTCCGTCTGTATAAACAGACACAGAACAATTTGTTTTTTGTTGCTGGGAGGAATGTTTGTGGAGTAGAAAATACTCAAATAAATAGAATAGTCAATATTTCTTCATTCATGCTTTTTTGATGGGATGCGGAACTTGATCTCATATACATAAAGAACGGATATTTCGAAACATTTGTGGGGTGAAGGACGGCAATTTCAAGGCAAAGTAAAACGAACTATCCTCACGGAAATACATAGTTAAATTAAAATAATGTGGACTTGATAACACGCCCATATGGTGATAATAAAAAACAATGTCAGTGACGTAAGGAATATTAAATGAATTGTAAAAAACAATTGCTCTGTAAGCAGCGGGTGGCGCTGCGCTTATGCACACCTTGTGTACTGATCAGAATTACGTGCTTTCGACTATAAATTACTGCGAATAAAAAAGTAACTGTGACTTGTTATTTCAGGAAGCAATTTACAGGCTCTCTTGATTATTTCATTTAGGCCAAGCGGCTACATATTAAAACGCAGCCGCCTGCGTTCATGGCAAAGATACCTAAATTAATGATGTGCACCATTTGAACTTCAATGTCGCGGTCAACATTAAAAAGCACTAGACCGAGCAGTCGCTCACTGGAAGTGGACGCTCTCAGGTATGTTTTCAAACCTTGTATAGTGAAGACAACGAGCGCTCAGCTTCCGCCGTTGTTACGCGCAGAGTCGATAGGATCTTCAAAAGACGATAAACGTTCGGGAATAGGGCCTCCGGCCAGAGGGCGACCGCCTATAGCGCACGCGTGATAGACTTTTTACGTTTCTCCCTCTATCATTGGACGCCTAAAATTTCCCTATTTTTGGCGAAGTTTCCCTCACTTCGTGAAATTTTCCTCCATTGAGACGTCCGTCTCGATGGTCGCTTATCGATGCGATGATGTCCGGCTTGCTTATCTGCTTTGCATGCCGAGGACATCCGATGCAATTTGTTTACAGATGAATCGTTTCGTTGCACGGAACATCAGAAACTCCCGAAGAGCCTTCATATTCTCACAACGCATAGGCGCAAGGATATTCAAGTACGTTTCCACGTTCACCGTATGGTTTGCGTGTTTGTGTGTGGTGTGTGATGTCCTTTCTCCGAGTGGCGGGACGACGAGTTCAAACTGACGACTTCTCATCGCCCCGAGGATATGCCGCTCCTGCCTCTGGAGCACGCTGCAAGATAAAGCGTCCTAGCAAAACTAGGGCTCTCTTTCCTTCGGCATCTTGTTCTGCAGCACGAATTTGTTAAATATTTAATAGATAATAGATTTTGGTTTTGTGGTTGTTCGGAATTATACCTTCACCCTATATATCGGCCCCTAGTGTTTGTGCGAGGACGGTTGCTCTGATTTTTCAGCGTCGAGATTTTGTTTTTGCTGCTTAATTTCTTGTGACTCTATAGCCTGCCGGTAAGAGCCAGGTAGCGCCAGTAGAGTGAGAGCCCAAGGTTATATACCCTGCCTCGGTGTACCTTGGCAAAGGGTGAACAAACCCCACATTGCGTGCTGACGGCTTCAATATCCGATACGTATATGAGCGCAGCGCACGCATAATGGAGCATGACGCAGCGAAAAGCCTGATACTTCTTCGTAGTAAAAGCGCACTCCGGTGATACGCAGTTACGTTCTGATTTGCCCGCCAGGCCGCTGCTTCCGCCGTACTTGCATGTTATGCGATCACGGCTTCCTGGCCTGCCCAGTATTTGTTGCTTCATACACTAGGTTATAGCAGCGCCACCAGAGAAGTAGCTCACGTTTGAACAAGGCAGCTGCCACTCCAAGGCATACCCAATGTTTCTTGCTTTGTTCGCTAGATAGTGCCAAACTAAACAGCATTGGAGGTTGACTATAGACCAATGTCCGAAATGCTAGCCCCCAGCGATAAAATAGTGAAATGATAATCTTCAGCGCAGGCTCTTGTGAAGAGAGGGGCTGAGGGTAAAACAAGAGTTTAGCTCTTTACAGAGCTCTTGGCATTGGTGTTGTTTTGTAGCTTCGTGACTTTATCTTTGCGACGTTCTTGCACTATGATATGTGCGAAGGTTTCTTAAAAGAAACGGAGTCTCGCAAAAGGTGCAGCACCCCCCCCCCCCCCCCCCGCCCCTTCTACTGTATCATTGCGTCAGCATAAACAAAGATGGCGGTGCCCATGGAAGAGAGCAGACACTGGTTTATAGCTATCCTTCTGTTTTGTCTGGCTTTCACGCGTTGGTAATGCAGTGGTACCTCAAAAAAGCGTGGGGAGTTGTGTGCTCTGAGGAAGCTTTTGAAGTTGGTGGGGCGCAACTATGACGACAGTAGAACAATAAGCCACCACACCCGTATTCCTGTAAATGAAACCTGCTCCGTTTTGAAGAAAGACTATGCAGCTTTTTTGTTTTATCTTAACAGCGCCTTCCTATTCTTTGCGTGAGCGTCCGTACCGACGAGTTCACCCTTTTTCGTCAGGGGGGGGGGGGGGGGGCGATTCATGCTATTGAACCCCCCTCAAAACAAAGTCCTGGCTACGCCACTGGACGCAGCTGTTGCCATAGGAACCTGTACGTTAAGCCATTGCAATGGCACTTGGTGGGACTCAAAGCAAGTGTGTGAATCGCTTTCAGTTCTTTCACGTTGTCACACAGGGGGCTCGATGTTTTGTTGGGCAGAAGCTAAAATACTTTCGCAATAAATGGATGGCGATATCTCCTCGTTTCCTTATATTCCCGACGAAACTCTCCAAGGAAAGGCAGAGAGGCATACCGCGTGCGGCATAAACTTTGCTCGCTTCCCCTCTTTTTCGACCAAAAGCACCCTCTTACCAAAGCCAATGTTACGCTCGAAACGTTCTGAGGCCTTGACAAGGCATTTGGGATTAACTGTTCATTACGGTCGTTTGTTGTTCACGATAGTCAAGTATACGGTTTGACCTTGCTTGACGAAAGACTAAGAAGGCTCGGTATTTGCGTGTCCTATATTGTCCTTCCAGGTTTTAAAATGTGTGGACCTCATTGATGATGTGCACATCGCATTGTAGCCTATAAGTCGTTCACCCTCAGGCTGAGAGTGCGATAAAAGCTATGTGCGCGTTAAAACAGTCACGCGTCATCATTTCGCCACGTATCCACACTCTCGTTTATACCCACGCGCACAGAAGGCATCAGGGGACGACAGGAAGGTGGTTGATTGGTTCCGGTGAGCTCGTAGCTCCCACCGCACTGTCAGCTCCGGGATGAACGAAGTATATTACCGTTGTGATGACGTGACGCCGTGAATATATCTTGTCTGGAGTTCTTGAGCCGTGGAATCCCAGCGATGTCTTTCCACGAAAGCTTTTTTCCACCTCATTTGCCTCTCTAGCCCGCCCTTTTTGCGTCTGGTGTGTTGCTCGTACGCAACGTTACTGGAGCAAGCTGAGTTTCACAGCTCCGCCTGCGACGTGGGCTCAGTGGCGGTCACGAGAACTAGCAGCGCTGCAGTCGAGTTTTGCTTCCGGATTGTCTAGCCCGCCAAGTTTGAATAGCAATACTTGAGCTTGGGCGAGATGTTGATTCATACTAACGCTTCACAGCGCAAGGAAACAGACGCACACAAAAATAATTTTCAACCACTCAAAGTAAAAACACTCACAGTGCGCTGACTCTGATCTTTGTGGTGTATTACACTTCATCTTCGTCGTCTTTTTCTTGCTATTATACACATGGAAGGTAAAAAAAAAAAAAAAAAGAAGAAAAGAAAAAGAAAAGGAGCAGTGCTAGCAGACAACGCGCGAGGCAGGGAAGCAAGATCCGACTGCAGCGCCGCTAGTTCTCGTGACCGCCACCGGGGCCACTCACCTCTGCAAGCGAGAATAGGGAACTGCGAAACTGAGCTTGCTCCATACTTTGTCTCACCCTACGATGGACTAAAGGCAAAGGCTATGAACCACCAGATCCAATCACAAGCCACTTAGAAATTGGCTGGTATTTCGCTTCAATGAACGTTACTAAGTGACTCACCAATTTTACATTGCAAAGGAAGCCACGACATACAGGCTCTTTGCAGTGTCGAAGCTGTAGAAATGATGCAGCGCATTTTGATGAGGAGCATTATTCGTTCATCCTAAATCAATGTTAAGCATGTCATAGTTTATCGTGGAACGTGATTGGACCTGGCTGCCCGTAGCTTTGGCCTTTAGTCCATCGTAGAATGAGACGAAGTATAGTAACGCTGCGCTGAAGTAGCAGACGACGCGCGAGACAGGGAAGTAAGATCCGACTGCAGCGCCGGTGGTTCTCGTGACCGCCACCTGGGCCACTCGCCTCCGCAGGCGAGAATAGAGAGCTGAAAAACTGAGCTTGCTCCAGTAAACGTTGCTCGTAAGAGCCTTTGCTTTCAGATTGCCCTCGTTTATTTTCTCTGATGTTTTTTTCGCGATATTTTCATTTTTCTACTTTTTTCTTAAAGCTTGCAAACGAACTTTTTAATTTGAGATAAAAGTAATTTCAAAAGTAATGAGTAATTTCCTAGAAATTACTGCTTGAAAGTGATTGATTACATTACTAAACTGCTAGCCTAGAAAATTAATAATTTACACTACTCATTACACACAGAAATTAATTTAATTACTATAATTTCCATAGAGTAATGTCGCTACTGCCATCTCTGGTACGATACAGGATGGACGACTTGTAAAGCGAGTACCGACAACGTTCACAGACTTTAATAATTAGCTTGATAGCTCAGCTTAAGACATATGGAAAGAAGCCTTACCTCAGCACTTTGAAGATTACACCGATGACTCGCTGCGAAGAACAAGTCGTCTTCAGCGCACTGGTTTATATCCAAGGAATTCAAGGCGATATTTACAGTGGCCACTCCCCTGGAAAAGAATAAAAAAGACAACGTTTAACAAACAAGAGGCGAACAAGAATATGCCTTGTGCTATGTACAAACGAGAGACGGAAGGCGCCGATCTTCCACAACACGCAGGCCAGCCTAAGCGCAACAAGCGCAACAAGCGGAACAAGTTCGCTCAGACCACGTTTGCGCGTGTTATGAAAGATGGAAGCGTTGCTTCCGTAGTGCAAACATAGCATTACTATCATTCCGCGAAGTTATGTAAACGATACATCTTAACTGGAGGTTCTACTGCCTCTCCTCAGCATACTTAGTACAACTCTAAAGGGCCACCGGTAAGAACCAGAGATGTCCCATTTACTTGGTTCCTAGCGCTACGACGTTTGCTGTGTCAAAAATCTCTTAGTGTGTTTAATATTTTAGACACTATTTAACACGGCCCTTCCAACGTCTGCTTATGCGGAATATGTTGATGACCCTAAAATGTATGCGAAATACATAAAAATATGTTATTTTAAGCATGCCAGATTTAGCATGACGGCTGTTTCAGAGAAAGGAGAGTCATGTTTTTCTCGCCGCAAAAATAAGCGTCGCATCGTCCAACGCTCAGCCTCCACCCAAAATTAGCACTAGCGATTCCAACCTGATGCCAATATTTTAATGTGTTACCATTATCTGATTAAAAATTTACAAACGATTTTCACAACCTTTAAATGAGGAAAGGGGCCGACGGAATCTACGAATACATGAAGACGAATAGCCTGTGCTACCAGGAACAGGTCATATTTACACATTTAAAGTTTCTGAGAATTTCTGATAACTTTTGAAACAAATAAGAGTAAGTTTTAAACTTTTATTATCTTGTCCCAACGGCTAGAGTTACATTCGAGTGAAAGAATAAGTGGCTCTGTTCAGATAAGAGAATGCACGCAAGTTCGACGTATTTTTGGTTTTCGGTAATTTTTATATGTTACTCCTAAACATGTGTAGGGAATGTAATAAAAAAAGATTTTGCAGAACAACAACAACAACAACAACAACAACAACAAAACATAATATTTAAAGAGAAAAAAAAAAAACTGTCAGCCTGTCCACTCTGGTGAAGAAGGAAGACCAGCGAAGCTTTACTATGGTGGGAATTAAGTATTTATAAACGTAAGGATTAAGGTTGGATTGGGTAATTGGTTATTTGAACGATTAAAGAATCAGATATATATATATATATATATATATATATATATATATATATATATATATATATATATATATATATAACGATCCGGGGTTGTTATTTATTTTGTAACCACAATGGCCAAGGCCTTGTGATCGCTGTGGTACACCGCCTTAAGATGTACGCTGACGGCAGGCGCATTCTTCGTGACGACGAGGGCTACACACGTCCGATGCCTGGTCGTAGGCACCGTAGGTTCGTTCACACACGCAAGCGCTCGAACATAAACGAAACGAGCCACTTTCCTTCCTGGCGTGCACTGTCAACGTTAAAGTCACCCGTCACTACGGCAGACGTGTCGTCGCCGAGCATGGCCCAGCCGAAGACGTCCATCATGAATCTTCAATGTCTCTCTTGGGCGTCGCGGGGGAGGACGTACACGACGGCGACCACCGGACCATCGCCCACCTTGTCGAAAAGGCTGGAAAGGTTGCAGCCATCTATGAGGACGGCGGCAGCCAAAATGGTTGTCTGGTTGCCGCCGTCGCTCATAGATGGCAGTAGCTGTCTAGAGTTTTGTGTAGTCTTGTGTCGACATTTGTTTGGTTCCGGATACGAAACTGGGGAAACTAGTCCTTAAGGTGCAACCCCACCGTGCATGACGTTTTCATGCTTTTTTGACGGCTTATGGCTTTCTTTCTATGTATCTTACATCTATAAAGTTAATGTCAAATTAAAGAGCTGTTTTTCAACGATACTTTAATGTCTCGATATTACGATTATTTTTAGTGGTTAGTTAATTATTTAGCTTTTAATAGACCACAGTCTCTAATATTGAAAAATTTATTTCTCGAGTTATAACGTCCCATCCCATACAAAAATGGTCTATGGACGTCTATGGAAAATCCTATGGTGAGCTATCACCTTCTATGGCCCTCTATGGTCAGCCATAAGAAACCATAAAACACGCTTTAGCCACCTATAAAAAAATGTATGTCTTCAAAGCTTTAGAATCTCGACCATTCCGATTTCTATACCTGGCTATAGAATAATTTATGACTACGCAGCTATAGACTCGCGGCTATTGAATATTCTTTAGCAAGCTATAGACATACGGTATGTCCTTGATGCTATAGATTCGCGACTATTGAATGTGCTTTAGCCGGCTATAGAGTGGTGTATGTCCCTAAATCTATAGAATCGCGACCATTGAATTTTCTTTAGCCGAATCTATAGCATTTTATGTCACCGAAGCTATAGGCCTCTGACCTTTCAATGCTCTTTAGCCGGCTATAGAGTGGTGTATGTCCCTAAACCTATAGACTCGCGACCATCAAACTTTCTTTAGCCGTCTCTATAGTGTTTTATGTCACCTGAGTTATAGGCCTCCGACCATTCAATGTGCTTTAGCCGACTATAGAGTGGGGTATGTCCCTAAATCTATAGAATCGCGACCATTGAATTTTCTTTAGCCGACTCAATAGTGTTCTATGTCACCAAAGCTATAGCCTCCGACCTTACAATGTGCTTTAGCCTGCTATAGAGGGATGTATGTCTCCCGAGCTATAGACTCGCGACCATCCAATTTTTTTAGTCGGCTCAATGGTTTGCTTAGGCTATAAACCCGCGACCCTTTTTTTTTTTTTTTTTTTTTTTTTTACTGCAGATGTACGAAAGTGGAAGAGAATCATTCATGCGCTCGATCGGGGCGAGAATTTTCTTCAGCCAGGTTAACGGGGCGTACGTCGCCGCGGCCATACGCCCGCGATCACAAAAGCGTCCTTAGCTGCCTATAGGACTATTGCAGTTTTGCCGTCTGCTTTCCCTGCGCATTGCCTTATTTCGGCGTTGACGTCATCTCAATCTTCCGTTTTTAGCTCTAATTATCCGTCGTTTCCAGTGTATTTTGTAAGTATATGTATTTCGTAGCGCGCCTTCTACTTTGTCCGTGTCCCTGCCATGTTTTTATTTCTTTCTGCCTGCTGTGTTAAATATATTTAATGTTTTTTGTGTATATTTCGTCGTTCTTGATGCGGCGTCAAGAACGCTGCTTACGCCACTACAGAGGTGAGCTTTACTCTTGTCACGACGGTTTATCGCGCTATAAAGTCGTCTATTGGACACGTACAAAGTCTCGAGAGGGCGGTTTCGAATGCCGGTGCACATGTCATCGGTGTAGGTAGAGCAACGACGTAGCAATCGCGACGCGAGTGCTGACTGCGCCTCGATCTGGCCGGCCGCGCTCGCTCTGTGGAAATGTAAGCTTGGGACTCTCGAGCCCTGTTAGCTTACTGAAGATGCAAGACACTACTTGGTCGTCGCGAATCCTTTGCCCATCGAATGGCTTCGAAGCCGTTCCAGCGCCCGGCGTATACCCTACGCAGTCTCCTCCAACAACCGTTCGCACAGCATCGGAACCCTCCGTCTGCGAGCCCCGGCGGTTCGCCGTCGCGGGGATTATGTTCGAGGAAGTTCGTGTTCGCGGTGTTTCATGTTCGCCGCAGGAGTTCATAAAATGCTCCCATTGAAGTCGCGACGATAAATCGTCGGCGCTCGCAGACTGCCAGTAGGCTCCGGGCGGTCGCTGACAGGCGCTGCTGCCTAGGGTACGCCGAGCACTGGAACGTTTTCGCCGGCGTTCGCAGGACAAAGATTCTCAACGACAAAGCAGCGCCCTGCATCATCAGCAAGTTAATGCTGCTCGAGAATCCCACGCTCACATTTTATCAGAGTGAGGCGCAGTCGTCTCTCACTTCGCGATTGCTGCGTCGTTGCTCTGACTAAACAATTGACAGTTCTCTCGAGACTTCATGAGCGTTAAATCGACGCGTCTATAGCGCGATAGAGTGTCGTGACAACAAAAAAAGCTTACCCCGGCAGGGGCGTGAGCAGCGGTGCAATGTCCGTCAACGCACATGTCGAGAACGGCGAAATATACACATATAACAGCCGAAAAAAAATTAATATCATTAGGCACGCCCTACCCTAGGTGCGTCCTATTATCTCTCTGTTCTGCGAATTCAACAAATCAGCAAGCGCTGTGGCTAATTTCTCTTCTTTTTCTTTAAATTATGAGACATTAAAGTCATTAGAGCTTCTTGGAGCACACATCCCCACCATGTGTCATCATGGTGCTCAGAGATTGTAATTGATGGCAGTGATATAGACTGAACTCACGGATGAAAAACGTATTACGGCACAAATTTCTTAAACCACGCAATCATAGATGCCACAACGATGCAAAGATTCCCAAAATTTAAGTTTAAAAATGCAAACCTAACAGTGTACACATAACACAAAAGTGCTTGGTAAAAAAAAAATTATATATATATATATATATATAAATATATATATATATATATTTATTTATTTATTTATTTGTTTGTGGACATCCTGCGCAAAGAAAAAGTATTCGCCATTAATTATTCACTTTAAATTATAATGTGGGCTACAAGGCGTAAAATATGATATCTTCAAACTGCCTCGTTTTGGGTCACTTCTGGGAAGTGCAGCTTTAGAAAAAAGTCCAAAAGCTGGGGGGCCTTCATGGAGCTGTCCTGTTCACTCGGTAGTGACAGCAGAGTAGACGCTATGCGTGTTTGAGGCCAATCATGTCTCCGGTTAGGGTCCCGTGACAACTGTCTCGAAGCTGGTGATAACGCTAAACACGGCACCTGCCTTAAGCCCAAGGCCACACATAGCATCCACTGCACTATCAACCTTGGCTCGAACTGTCAACAGGATATAAGTGACACATTCTCTCGCTGTGTTCATTGTTGGTATGCCCCTGAAGATTAGTCTTTGTGATCGCACCCCCGTTCTGGCCTTGAAGGAGCTCTGCTTTTCAATTT